TAGCCCAGGTATTTGAATTTAAACGTTAGCCAAGGCCCAATGAGTTAATGAATCCCAAATCAGTCTTCCTTCCATGAAGCCTTAGGATTCAGTGCCCATTGCCAGCCAATCCTCCCATTATCCCCTGCACTGAGCAACACAGGAGTCAGGTACTCCACCTGCCCTTCCTTCCACTTACTTCCCAAAGAGTCTCATGATGCCTCTGGACTTCTTTTTGGAATCTGGAGATGGCGGAGACATCTGGAAAGGACTGGTCCCCTGTGAACCTTTCGGCCGAGATGTGCCAGCCAAATCTAGGTGCTCAGCTATCTCCTTTTCTGTCTCAGCTATCCCAAGGATAGAATAAAGACCATGTGAATATAACTAAATATTAACCTTCTTGGTTTTAGCCCCTTAAGAACTATTCTTTGGGTCTATAAACCAGTGATTTACAAAGAGTGCCCTTAAGTATGAAAAATGCATGTAAGTGTATGTTCTCTACAGCCTACTCTCCTGCACAAAGTTAATCAGCTTACAGTCACCCCTTTGAGATTAAAAATGTGTGGCAGAGTCGGTGTGGCAGTACACACATGTAAATCCACCACCTGGAGGCTGACACAAGAGAACTGATTGTGAGATAAATGTGGGCTACAATGTGGGACTCTTTAAAATAGAATGTCTCAGAACTGTTACATTCCTGATGTAAGTTCGTGATGAGCTTATGCCTAACCTGGTGTTGGCCCAGCTAGCCTCTACAGTCTCCATGGTCACCACCCCCTTCCTGCCATCTTCTATCCTTCCTGCATTTTACACCAAGACTCTGCTTAGTTGCCTCTTCAGGCTTGCAGTGAGCTCCCCTGTTCTAAGTTCAGCTCTGAAGGCTGGCTTGATTTTCATAGACAGATGGCACCCAAACCTCTGAGCCCAACCTCACTCACCAGCCCCATACCCGCAGACTACGCAGAGTCCCAATTTAATGTGCCAAGGACACAGGGGATTTATCAAACCCTCTAGTTTCCCTGAAAGTCTTCTCTCAAATTTTATTTGCTACTGAATTCAAATTCTATGTCATTTTCTTCTTAACACTCCTTCTCCTTTGCCATTTAGATCACATCAGTTACAGAGGACGAGCAATCACCAATATGGTGGTGCACACCCATTAAATCCCAGCACTCAGGAGTCCAAGGCCAGACCAGGCTGTAGCTGAGAACCTGTCTCAAGGGGGCAATACTCCTAGCCTAATCACATATTGGCTGCTGAGAGAACAATGTGAGGTTTTCCTTGGATGTAAAATCAGTCTTTCTTGACTTGGCTTTGAAAGAGCCGCACCACACTTGCCACTGCAGACCCACACATGCATGATGTGAGCTCTACCAACTGTCCATTCCTGAAGGACAGCCACAAGCAAAGACAGGACTGCTGTGGTCCAAAATGTCAACTTCACATTTATAAAGGAAGATAACACTTGTTCAAACAAACGAGGAAAAGGTCTCAGAAGGGTTTGCAGAGGTTGCAGAAGTTGAATTTTCTGTGAAGCAGAGCTGTGACTACAGGTTACAATAAGCAGCACCGGCCTACAAGCATTGGCTACTGCCCTAGAGAGACCCAGGAGTAGCTGAATGTAGCTGTCCAGCTAGAAGAGTTTAGTCTGTAGAGCCAGCGCTCACTGCAAACACTTCAGGCTCCAAAGAGAATGACCTCACTCTGCAAGGACATGTGTGTCAACAACTGGGTATGTATACAACGTGACAGCCTCAGGGAAACCCAGGGGGCTCTATCCACTCTCACTCCACAGCCACAGTGGTATGGGTACCCTGAAAATGTTCCTAGCCCAACTCATTTTGAAAAGCATCATACTTCTTTTATTTATTTATTTATTTATTTATTTATTTATTTGGAGACTTTTTTCACACTATTTCCCACAGGGAGACAGAATGAACTTCTCTTAAAAGCACTCTGATGGAGACTCCTCAGATACCATGTGAAGTCACCTCTGTCATCACTAAATATCCCCAACACCAAAGTAATAAAATCTCCGGAATGTTCCTCCAAGAGCAGTAAGTCAGCTCCTGCCTGGCAGCACATGTTTTGGAGGGAGGCTGGGAAAATGAACACATGAAAGAGGAAGGAGAGTTGGTGGGTGATGGTTCAGTCATGGGTGCGGGGAGCTGGGATGTATGACACCGGTTCATTCCAGCCCTGCACCCTGCAGGCTGCTGGGCATTTCTAGGGCCTCTCAGAGCTACTTAAAAAGTATCAATAGCACTGGTTAAAACAGCATGTAGGCTCAGAAGCAAAGTCTCCATGGAGTCTGTTTTAGCCAAAGATGAAGGAATATTCTGGAACAGACTACATTTTCTGATTGCAGCCAGCTTGCTTGGTAGAGACCACAGAGGCCAAGAGTGGGGATTAGATGGCTTGGAATTCAGCACTGGTGAAAGCTGGCATGCAGGGGTACGGTACCTAAGGTGGGTGCACTGGCACTTCGTTTACGATCTTCAGGTATCCCAACAACGCACACAACACACGCAGCCCAAGGGAGAGAACACAGGGATGACAAAATGAAATAGATCAGACTCCTCCCTCCAAGGCAATGCCCATAGGAGGAATGCATGCATGCACTAAGACTATACAAACTGTACAGGATCATCCATGGGGACTCATTCATCCCACCACCACAGAGGGGAGACTGTCTACACAAAGTCACAGACTACCACAGGGGTAGGATGATTTCATTTTGCTATTTATATCACTGGACAGAATGGGGTAAGAGCTAACTTCACACTGAAAATTAAATCCATGGAAGCATTTTTGCTAACATCCCCCGCCCCCAAGGCATTCACCTTCCTTTCTGAGAAAGAGAATTGTATCCACAGATGAACAAAAGATGGGTGGAACCAAGCCTTCCCCTCCGTCCGGAAGGTCAGGACCGAGGTATCCTTGCCACACATACCAAGGTTTGGTGCACTTGCTGTCCTCTTGTTACTTTTGATTTTAAAAAAGCCTCGGCCAAAGGAGGACCTGGCTTTTCGAGTGCCAAAGGGGTTGTCATCCATGGAGGCATCATGTCCAGGAACCTTGGGAGGCAGGGTCCCAAAGGTGCGGCTGTCGTGTGGAGCTTTATCCTGAGGGGTGATGAGGAGGTAACTGAGTGTTAGGATGCATAATCCTTAGGACAGGAGGCTGGGCTCAACTCAATGCCACATCACTGGACAGACCACTGAAGGAACACACTAAGACCAACGTCAAGTGACACATTAAGAAAGCCTAAGCAATAAACAGCAACACAGTGAACACTTCTAACTCCATCTACAATCAATACATTTGTCACTTTAAATATTTAAGACAGCTTTAAAAAACAATTAAATTCCATCCGCCTCATTCCTTCAAGACATGCAGTGAAGACATCCATACCCAGGATGCAAGTATGACGCAGAGCTATAAATGGGTTTACATCCCTAAATCACCACTACAGCAATAGAAGCCTAGGGCAAGCCCACAAAGCAGCCAGTGCACATGCTTTCAAACACAATGAGGAGATCCTACTCAGTTATCTTACATTCTTCTCATTCCAACTTTGTGTCAGCCATTAAGCTCATAAAGAACATTTCTCAGTATCACTGAGAGAGGTTGCATTTCTTTTCTAACACCTGCTTTCTGCTTTTGTTTTACAGAGCTGCTGAAAGGTCAAAGGATGGCTGACTACACTAACTCAAAGTCTACATGCACAATACAGTCACTATCTGCAGATAACTAACACTTGTCTCTTAACACTGACAAATTCATCATTTACTGAACAAAGGGTTGAAAAGGACCTGAGTGACAGCTGTGTCCACTGACTGTTTTTGGCCAGTTCCATCTCTAAGGACTCAGGCACTCGGAGCCGACAGTCAGGACTGGAACTGGCCAGCTGGTGATCGAAAGGCTTTTTGCAGGACCTGGGGAAGGCAGCTGTGGTCACAAAGATGACCACAGCACATGGCTCTAACATCACAGGTTGGTTTTCTAATAACAGATGGAGGTGAACTTTTAAAAAATATTTATTTATTTACTTATGTGTATGTGTGCCTATGTGCATGTGTGAGGGTGCATGTGCCACAACACATGTGTGTAGAGGTCAGTGCATGACTTGTGGGAGTTATTCTCGCCTTCTACCTGAATACCCTGGGGGTTTAAGCTAAGCTATTGGGCTTGACGGCAAATGCCTTCACCCCTGGAAACATCTCAATGTCCCAAAATTAACTTTTTCTTTTTTTTTTTTACTGAAACGTTCGTTTTATGACTACCCAATACTTACACCCTAGTCAGGGGCAGCCTGGGAACTAGTCTGAGACCATAGCATAGTGGCCTGCACTTGCTCTATATGTAGGCTTTGCACGTCCATATGTAAATAATAATGTATGCATGTCAGGTACACATGTTCATGTGTGTATATGGAGGCTCAAGGTTGGGTGTCTTCTATTTCTCCTCACTGTATTTTTTGAGACAGTCTCTCACGGAACCTGGAGCCCACTGACTGACTAGACTGGCTGGCCAGTCCCAGGGACCCTCCGGCCCCGAGATCTCCCGGCAGCGTAGGACAGGCACCTTAGGTAGTTACTGGGATCTGAGCTCGGGTCCTCATGCTCACAGAGTCTTCACTTTACCACCGAGCTGTCTCTCCGCCCCCAGAATAACCCAAGTTTCACAGTCACTTGAAGCCCCTCCATTACCACATTCTCAAGCAATGCCCCACCCCTATTTCTTAGAAGTTCTGTTAAGTTTGTGGTTCTGGTTTGTTTTTTTTTAAAGTTTTCCGAGACAGGGTTTCTCTGTGTAGTTTTGGTGCCTGTTCTGGATCTTGCTCTGTAGACCAGGCTGGCCTCAAACTCACAGAGATCCACCTGCCTCTGCCTCCCAAGTGCTTGGAATATAAGTATGTGTCACCATGCCTAACTCAAAATTAACTTAAAAAAAGAAAGATTTATTTATGTATTTATGTTATGTATATAGGTGTTTTGTCTGCATGTACGTCTGCACACCAGAAGAGGGCACTGAAATCCACGGGACTACAATTATAGAGGGTTGTAAACAGCCATGTGGGTGTTGTGAACTGAACTCAGGTCCTCTGGAGAAGCAGTGCTCTTAACCACTGAGCCATCATCTCTCCAGCCCTCAAAACTAACCTTTTTGTTGTTGCTGTTGTTGTTTGTTTTTCCAGACATGGTTTCTCTGTGTAGCCCTGGCTGTCCTGGAACTCAAACTCAGAGGACCTTCTGCCTCTGCCTCTCTAGTGCTGAGATTAAAGGCTTACACCACCACCTCTTGACTAAAATGAACTTTTTAAAGTAAGTAACTCAGTGGCATTTAGCACTTCTCTGAATCATACCCACCCCATCTAGTTCAAAAACACTGCCACCGTCCTACAGCCAAAGCCCCTCGGCGCCTCCTCATTCCACTCTTTCCCCACAGCCACCTCTCTGCAGCCTTGTCTGCACACACTCACGCCGCACACTCCACCTCTCTGCAGCCTTCTCTATACACACTCACGCCGCACACTCCACCTCTGTGCAGCCTTCTCTGCACACACTCACACTGCACACTCCACCTCTCTGCAGCCTTCTCTATACACACTCACGCTGCACACTCCACCTCTCTGCAGCCTTCTCTGTAGACACACTCATACTGCACACTCACCTCTCTGCAGCCTTCTCTGCACACACTCACACTGCACAATTCTCTCTGCTGTCTTCTCTGCACACACTCACACTGCACACTCCACCTCTGTGCAGCCTTCTCTGCACACACTCACACTGCACACTCCACCTCTCTGCAGCCTTCTCTGCACACACTCACGCCGCACACTCCACCTCTCTGCAGCCTTCTCTATACACACTCACACTGCACACTCCACCTCTGTGCAGCCTTCTCTGCACACACTCACACTGCACACTCCACCTCTCTGCAGCCTTCTCTATACACACTCACGCTGCACACTCCACCTCTCTGCAGCCTTCTCTGTAGACACACTCATACTGCACACTCCACCTCTCTGCAGCCTTCTCTGCACACACTCACGCTGCACACTCCACCTCTCTGCAGCCTTCTCTGCACACACTCACACTGCACACTCCACCTCTCTGCAGCCTTCTCTACACACACTCACACTGCACACTCCACCTCTCTGCAGCCTTCTCTGCACACACTCACACTGCACACTCCACCTCTCTGCAGCCTTCTCTGTACACACTCACACTGCACACTCCACCTCTCTGCAGTCTTCTCTGTAGACACACTCACACTGCACACTCCACCTCTCTGCAGCCTTCTCTGTAGACACACTCATGCCACACACTTCCCTGAGACACAGGGGTGTGCACATGACCTTCCCAGCCGGCTTTCTGCACCTAGCATAATGCTTTGGAGGCTCTGACAGCCTTGGTCTCCTGGACTGGGGACATTTACTCAACTTACAAGTCATAAAATTCAAAAGATTTTTATACTTTGATTCAGATATAAAAATTACCTCTGAAGGCTTCTGGATAGACTCCTTTTCCTGTTCAAAAACAATGACATTTAAGGAAAGCTACTGTAAAATCCTAATATACATTCAGTTGTCATATATACTTCCACAAAATCTTACTTGTATTTACTTCCTACAATGTTTTATTTGTCTCAGCCTTTCATTTATGTACTTTCGGTCTTCTATATTCATTCTCAATATCTGTCATTAACTGTACTATGGTAGTAATTTCCCATCAGAGAAACCACAAGCTCATCCTAAAATGATTTTTTCCCCTGTGCAAATTAAAATAAAGATCCATCCCTCAGTCCTTTCTTCTCAGGGTAACAAGGAAAAGTGGGGAGGGAGGAAAAAAGAACAAAACTACCATGCCATCTGATGTTCCTTTCTTCAGGTTGCCCAGGCTGCTGGATTTTTGCAGACTCGAAGTTCTAACAACAGAGACAATGATAAATAGAATTAACAGTAAGTTGACTCTGGTGCCTGTGTCTAAGCAGATCATCTTAGAAGGAAACTAAAAACTGTCTGGGGGTTGAATCTTGGTAATAAAAGAAAATCTGGATCCAAGCAAACACTTAAGTGCTTAAGTAAATTGCAGCATTTAGTTCTTTTAAAAGCAGGGTGGTTAACTGTCTCGCCAATAACACAAACTGTCCCACACATGTCACAGAAGCTGGAAAACCACTTAAGACTGCCCTGGCAATGTCAGTGTTTTCCATGGACTAGTGGCGCTTACACTTTCACACTAGGAACTTCTTAGAAGCTTGTGCACTGTTAGACCTAATCCTTCTACTTGAAGAATGAAAGTCTACTTTTCTTTCAAAGAGGACTAACTTTTCTGAGTCTGGAAAAGCATAATAAGCCAGGTTTTGTGGGACATGCCTGCAATTCCAGTACTCAAGAGGCTAGGGCCGAAGGATTGCTGAATGTGTGACAACAGCCTGGGCTATCAAGACAGCCTGCCTCCAAAAATGAGAAAGAAAGAAGGAGGGGAGGAAAAAGTAAAGAGAGGAGGAGAAGGGGAGGGAGAAAGAAGGGAAGAAAAATGCACTAGAGTGGTGGCTCTTACCCTTCCCGACACTGGACCCTTTAGTACAGTTCCTCATGCTGTGGTGACCCCCAACCATAACATTATCTTCATTGTTACTTCATAACTGTAATTTTGCTACTGTCATGAATTGTAACGTAAATCTCTGTGTTTTCCCGACAGTCTTAGGTGACCCCCGTGAAAGAGTCACTCCACACACACCCCAAAGGGGTCACAACCCACAGGTTGAGAACCACTGCACTAGAGGAATCCTTGTTATTGCCCATAATAATTCATTTGCTAGCCTAGGAAGGCAGAAGGGTCTGTAAGTCACAGAGACGTTTTCTTTTACATAATTAGTGTTCAGTATACACAGCTGGAGATGGTATTACTCAAAATCTAAAAGCACAAATATGGGGCCAGTTTCAAAAAACGAGGGACTGGGGGTATACTTCAGTGCCAGAGTGTGCTTGGCACGGGAGAGGCCTGAGGCCTGATCCCTGGCAACATGAGATAAAAAAGGAAGACAAAGCAGAGAAGAGATTAAAGAAGGAGTGTGTTTACTCCAATCACTAGAACAACCAAGCAACCAAACTTTTAAAGGCCTTTCTGCTTTTATGTAAAGCCTATTCTGAAAATAGGCTTTCCAGGTTGTTTTGGGCTTTCCTAATCCGATCCAGACTGTAACTTGGATGAACATTCCCACTGGGCCAGTTTATTAAACTCTAAGTGCAGAGCAGCTCTGTCAGCTGTCACTTTCTCTGGGGTTCTTTTCTAGTGGAGTAAAAAATGTGAATCAGCACAAAATGAATGAAAAGTTCTGACCTTCAAATGAAAATTGATGAGGGAAGACTAAAGATCTGCAAATGCCAGGCATGAGATGCCGAGAAAGGAGTGTCTCTTTGTAACACCGGCCCTCCAGCCCAGCTGTCAGGACACACGCAGTCTTGTACGTATGAGTGTAACAGCCTTGATGGATCACTGCTAGTAATGGTTACGTGAGCATAACCGATTCCCGCTTTTTCAAGCCCTGATCATACTTCACACTCAACAACACACAACTTACGAGAGACCATCACACAGCGAGGCTTCAGCGGCAGCACCCAGGATTGCTTTTCCATCACTACAATATATATTTTTAAAAGGCATTTGTTAATGTCATGAATCAAACACCACACAGACACTCCTGGGCTTACAACGGTGAAAGAGCCCATCGGAGGCTCAAGTCATTGTCAAGTCAAAAGTGCCTTTTGTTTACTCTACCAAAACACAGCGTAGCCTGTCCTACTTTGGTCTACAGCAGCCCACTAGCCTATGGCTGAGCAAAATCTCTTTCTCTAACAAAGTCAACTTTAGAAGGGTGTGCGGACTATCTTGTACCTATCAAAAACTATAGCAAAAATGAAACACAGTAACACTGAAAGTCAAAAACGAAAATCACGAGTCAAGCCATCACAGGTGGGCCTGTCTGTGCATATTCTAAGTGAACAGAAATGGTTAAAAAATAGTGCAAAGAAAGCTATTTCTAATTTTTAAACATTTTCTTAGGTCTAATTCAAATTTAGGCAATTAGTTTGAGAATTTTCTGGCAAAATATCTATTTGCCAACTGAGAAATGACCATGTCCCTGTTGTGTGGACTCCACAGCCGCCCTTCACAGAGCCTCGTGACACCAACTGTAGCTATTCTGCCTGCCACCTCTGACAGTCACTGATGACCTAGAAAGCAAAACCCAAGTTCCTTAAAGGCCCCTCTAACATCATGCCCTCATTTCCCCAGGCTCCTCTCCATCACTTCCTGATTCATGCATGTTACTTTAATATTACAAAACTGATGATGGAAACGGTGTCTGTAAAAATGGGTTATGCTCTTATTTTGGGCTACTCTAATGCTCTGAACATTTATATCACAATGTTAGCCCATAAATAACATACTTCTCTTCAAATGAAGCCTCAGGCTTAGTAGGCAACTTGGACTTTTCGGAGGTTTCCACACCCATAGATGGTGGCGATAGGGAAGGGATTGAAGCTTGCAAGATGCTGGTGTGAAACTGTAAAAAATCATAAGTAAAAAGAAAAGAAAATCAATCAAACAAGCAAACACAAGCCACAAAGAGTAACAAAACATAACAGAATTAGTCTATCCAAATCTTACATGCCTGTGCTTAGAACTCTAGCCTTATATTTATGAAATCCTTTCAGAATACAAACGTTTACATAAATGAGGTTAATGGGAGGAAACACTGTGGAGAAAGGGGGCTTAGTTTGGTTCTAAGACAGCAAATATCCTGAATAAGAAAGTACCTTAAACCACAAAGAGTACCAAGTTCTGATCACGTTAAAAGCCCATGGAATGCCAGCGCAAGGCACTGACTGTTCTCTTCAGCACAAACACACTGTAAACAAAGTACTATTTTCATTTTTATTTCTACTAGTAGTCAAACACATAACATACATCATGTTGGTTAATTTTTCTTTTATGTGTGAACAAGCTAAGTCCAACTATTGTAACTGATGAAAAATGCATTAAAATCAGCTAGAATATGTTTCCAGTTAAAATGCTTGGTGTGATAATGGCAATGCTGTGGAAACAATGAAATGTGGACCCCATTTTCTCAAATATCTCTGGGTCTCAGGGCTGAAGTCCTCAGTAATGTGTGAGAACTGGAGAATGGAGTGTGGTTAGCATCAAGAGTTCACAGAGAAAACACTTAAAAATATAATCATGATATTTTCCCCACCCCTTTCCTACCAACCCCATGTACCTTCCTTTATTCTCTCTGCCCCCCACCCTCTCTCTCTCTCAAATCCATGACCTCTTTTTCTAACTCTCTTTTTGATCAAGCTCTTCTGTGTAGCCCAGGCTGGCCACGAGCTCAGTCTCCTATGAAATGACAAGTGTGCATCGGCACAGCCGCACCGGCTTGGCTGCTACCTCCTCAGTGCACCAGGCAAAGACACACAGTGGACACACATCTACACCGACTACTCAGCAACGTTTTCCTCTCAGCCACACACTCCACAAACAGGGAGCCATGCCTGCCCCTGAGCTCCTGGAATCCAAAGCCCAGTGGGGTAGGATGGACTTGGGTGTACTTCACCAGCAAAGCTCAGCCTCATGAAGAAGCAATGAACTCAGCTTTGTGAGTGCTGCCTGTTACTGAGTGATGGCACCATGAAAGCTCACAAAACATCACGCCATATTACTGCAAAATAGGGTTCTTTTTTATTTTTTATTTTCTTTTCTTTTCCTGGTTTGGTTTTGGTTTGAATCTTTATAATCAATGCTGGGTAATCTCTTTAGCACTTACCCGTTGTTTCCTGAAGTTCAACTATTTTCCTGGACTCCTAATTATGAGAAAAATACACTATCACACTGGCCTGTTTCCTTGATTTCTTTTTCAAACTTTAAGGTTTCAGTTCCAACTTTAACTTTTCCTCCTGGCTCTTCTTTAAAAATAGGGTTGAACTCTATCAATTCTCATCACACCATTTTTGTTCAGTTTGGAGCAATCATTTATGACAAACTAAACATCATTAAACTGTAATTCATGAGGGCTGGGGAGATGGCTCAATAGTTAAGAGCACGCTCTCCCAGGGAACCTGGGTTCAATTCCTAGCATGGTGGGTCCCAATGCCTGTTAACGCCAGTTCCAGGGGTCTGGTGCCCTCTTCTGACCACTTTAGGAACTGCATGCATGCAGTGTGCATACAGGTATTCAAGCAGAACACTCACACATAAATAGAAACAAACCTTTAGGACCAGGCGCATGTAGCAAATACTCTAGAATAATCTGGTCTATGCCACATACGCAAGCAATCTCTCTCTAAAAACAGCACACTTATTGACTATCAAAGGGTTTTTTTTGAAAGGCTGAGGCAGAAGGATCACTAGTTCTATGCTGACCTGGGCAACAAAGTGAGCCTGTCTCAAAATAAAACAAAGGGTTTTTTCCATCTCAATGTAACCACATTTAACAAGCAGGGAACTTCTCCCTGTATCTTATTTCACAACTAAAATCTTGATTGATGAACTGTTTCAATACTCTCTAACATTTAAGTGTCCAATGTTAGTTGTTTTCTCTTTGAATTAATTTTCATTCAATCTCATTTTTACTTTCTCAGGACTAGTGGTGTAGCTCAACGCAGAGCACTTGCTAAGCATGCACAAGACCTCAGGTTTGATGCCCAGAACTGCAAAGAGGGAAAAAGGGACTAGAAAAAGAGATTCCTCACTAAACACCATTTTTTCATTGTGGGATTATCAACAACAGATATGAGGGAAGGAAGGCAAGGGAGGAGAGATGGTGAAAGGAAGGAACTGTAGAACACAGTAAGACTGTAGCGTGGCCTGAGATGTTCCCAGTTCCTGGTCTCTCCAGACAGCAATTATACTAAAATTAAGGTGTGACGTGACCTCAGGGCAAAGGTCACCCTGCACTTGGGGAATCCTGGGACAGGTGCTGCCTGCTATCAGAATCTACAGAAAAGCAGCATGTCCAGCAGCCCTGACAGGCAGTAAGGAATGCTCAGACAAGCTCGTATCTAATGCAGTGGACTGGAGGACTCTGAGGAGATTCTGATTGTTAAAGTAATGCACCAAATCAGGCTCCACTGGAGAAGCACAGCAGAAAATAAAAAGTGGCTTTGGACTTCAGTGGCACTTTACAAGGCCGAGACAATACTGATTTGAAAATATTTAGGGGGGAAAGAGAGTGGACTTGGACAGAAGAATGATGACCTCAGGAGCTGGCCTCCAATGCAGAAGTGGCAACACCTGTCCAGCTGGGTTTGGAACTGTGATGGACCAGGGACTCACCACGCATGCTGGGTGTGTGGTGACAGATGCCTTGTTTTGTTAGGTCCCAACTCAGTAAGTTGTTTGAAATGACACTCTAGGAACTCCCTGAGAGACCTCCCCACACATCAACCTGACGGATGACAACTCCTGAGAAGGACATGTGGAGAAGGGAAGGCCTCGTTTTATATGGGAGAAGGAGTAAACTGGTTTACCCAGGTGAAATGGTGACTGTTTCCCAAAATGGTTACACCACATCTCATTCCATGTGCTCTGACACTGTGATGTCACTTGGACCTAAAGGTAAAGTCTACGTTCACTATGAATCTGGTTGAGCCGTGGCTGCAGCAAAGAAGCTCATGACTTCTGAGTTACAGGTGATGCAAATCTACCCAGTCTTCTCAGGATGCTCTCACCACAGACTGTGAGGCAGCCAGGGCAGAGCGAAGGTCCCAGCCAATAGGCTGCCTCCACAATAAGACATTGCAATGAGAAGCCTTCCTGCTACTCCTGGAGCTGAGCAGATAGACATGAGGTGTCCTGCCAACCTTTGCCCGCTCTGCAGACTCCTCAGAAAGATGACAATCCAGCCACAGTTTGGTGTGTAGTAGGTAATGAACAGTTGTTCCTGCCACCTTGATGAATGTAGATGAATTAAAGACTTTACTGTCTTCTAACTGCTTTCTCCAAGTCACAACAGAACTAGACTTGTTTATATACTCTACTTACCTCACCTGACTTACTCTGTACTTGGTCTTTAAAAAGACAGACTGTAATCTCGTACCTTAGGCTATCTGTCTCAAAGATGCTCAGAGTTTTGCTTTTGAGACTCGGGTCCTTCTAGGCTGCTCTTGAATTTCCATCCAAAGGATGCTCTGCCTCAGCCTCTCACATAGCTGAAACTACAGGTACATGCCAAGGTACCTGTCTTGTTTTTATTGAGTTTTACAAGAAATTTTTACTTTGCCCAGAGTATTTATTAAAAAGAGGGGGAAGCACACATTTAAAAAGGGAACGAGATTGGCAGTGTACAAAACGGCCAGAACAGACCAACAGATGCTGGAACTGGGAAAAGAACCCACATCACATGGCACCGGCAACGTACACAACAGGAAAGATGCAGCCCCTTCAATACAAACGAACTGTCAGAATATCGAAGGTACCTCTTCTGGAGCACTCGTGTTGAACGGGTCCCTGATGGGAGACCCCATTCCTGGTGTAGAAGAAGTACTTCTCTCCAGGTCACTAAAGCCCTGTGCATCCAACAAGGTGGAGATGGAGCTGGAGTGGAACAGGCCCTCATACTCACCATCCTGGCCTGGAAAAGACAAAGCAGTAAGTACCCACCAATGGTGTTAACAGAAGGAGTCAGGTTTGATACAGTATTGACAGAAAAGATGTTTAAAAAAACAACAAACAAACCTAAATTTATTCCAAGAACCCACTGAAATTTTGTTTTAAAATTTCCAGGCTTTATAAATAATAGTTTAGCCTGCTTTGGTGACTCATACCCTTAATCCTGGCACTCAGGAGGTGGGAGCAGAAGAATCTGAAATTCAAGATCATCCTTGGCTACATAACAAGGAAAAGGCCAGCCTGGGCTACATACATGAGACCCTATCTCAAAAAATTTTATGTATGTATGTATGTATGTATGTATGTATGTTTGTATCTACCGACCTACTTACCTATCTACTCTATTTAACTACCCATCTATCTACCTACATTCCTATCTATTCTAGCATGAACATCTAATTCTGGACAACAACAGAGTCACCATTTAAACACATTATTTCCCATCACTGCTGTGCTTTGGAAAATACACAAAAAGAAAAAGGATAAAAGAAAAAGAAAAATGGGCTGGGCAGTGGTGGCACATGCCTTTAATCCCAGCACTCGGGAGGCAGAGCCAGGTGGATCTTTCTGAGTTCGAGGCCAGCCTGGTCTACAGGCACCAAAACTACACAGAGAAACCCTGTCTCAAAAAAAAAAAAAAAAAAAAAAAAAAAAAGAAAGAAAGAAAAAGAAAAATGACACCTGATCCTTCAAAAGAATCCTTTAATGCCATTTTAAGCAGAAAGAGCCTAACAGAAAAAAGAAACCACATATCCATCAAAGCACTAAGTTTGAAAAATTTTAACATCAGTCAAGATGTAAAGGATTAACTGTAGAACACAATGGTAGACAGTCATTTTCTTAAAAATAGAGTGATATTAAAAACTCTAATCTCTAATGCCAAATGGCAAGCTGTATAGTTATCTAAAGATCTTAACAAGGCTGTAATTCCTCTTTTCTTCTTCTTCTTTTTTTTAAAAGAGACTGTTTTGCTATCTCATAGCCCAGGCTGACATCAAATTCAAGGTCATCTTGACTCAGCCTCTCAAATGCTTAGATTACAGGCATGCCCAACTACACTATAATTTTTTTTTAAGATTTATTTTGTTTTTATTTGAGTATGTGTGTCTGTATGCCCTGTGTGTACATATGTCCTCAGAGGCCAGAAGAGGGTGTGGGATGCCTTGGAACTGGAGTTACAGGTGGTTATGGGCTGCCAGAGTGGGTGCTAAGAGCCAAAATGCAGTCCTCTGCAAATGCTCTTAACCACTGAGCAATCTCTCCAGCCAACCATAGCTTTTAAATTGAATTTTACTATAATTGTACCCTCACTTACTAGATTTTAAATGTTGTTAGCGTTTTGTCAAGAGTAAGTAAATAACTATGTATTAGGGAGAAATCACTTTTTATGTAACTCTCACCATAGCAGGGCATGATTTTTATGACTTGTGAAACCTGTCCTGATTTCTAACTACTACATGGGGCTGGAAAGGTTCAGCCAGTCAAGTGGCTGCCATGTAAGCATGAGGACCCAAGTTCAGATCTCCAGTGCCCACATAAAAGTTAGGCATGGAGTGGAGAGGTGGCCTGGAGGTCAAGAACACATACTAATCATGAAGAAGACCTGGATTTGGTTTCCAGCTCCTAAGCTAAGCAGCTTACAACTGCCTGTAACCCCAGTAACCCCAGCTCCAGGGATCTGATGCCTTCTTCTGGCCTCCTCAGGCACTGGCACACATGTGGCATCCACCCATCCACCTACCCACCCACACACACAAAATAAAAATAAATCTTTAAAAGTCAGGCCTGGTGGTCTACAGCCTTAGAGGTAGGGAGGTAAATAGGCAATCCTTGGAGCTCACTGACCAGCCAACCTAGCCAGTCTGTGAACTCCAGTGTCACGAAGAAACCCTGACTCAGGGTGGGGCTAGTATATGGTTCAGTGGGAAATGGGACTTGCTGCTAAGACAGAGGGCCTGAGTTCTGGGCCTAGAATCCTCATGGTAGAAGGAGAAAACCTGCTCTCACAAGTTATCCTTGGTTTTCCTCACAGAAAGTGGACAGCTTTATTAGCTCTTATGAAAAAAAAAGTAATGGTATCCACTTCTATTGATTTGTTTGTTTATTTTGAAGGTTCTGGTTCAAAGCCGTTTTTTTCCTTTGATTCATGAATTCATCAGAATTAAAATTTCTGAGAGTTTAGCTTAGTGGTAGAACACTTACCTAGCATGTATGAGGCAGATTCCAAGCACTAATAAATAAATTAATTCTAAAAATAAAATTTCAAATTCTTGAGTATTTCACAACTATCTCTTGTGCTGGCTGGTTTTACTGTCAACTTGACTGGCTAGAATAGTTTGGAGGAGAAAATATCAACTGAGAAAATGCCCCCACCAGATTAGGTTGTGGGCAAGCCTGTGCAGCATTTTCTGACTAGTGATTAATTGGGGAGGGCCCAGCCCATTGTGAGTGATGCCACCTCTGGGCTGGTGGTCCTGAGGGTACATAAGTAGGCAGCTGAGCAAGTCATGAGGAGCAAGCCAGTAAGCAGCACTCCTCCATGGCCTCTGCTTTAGCTCCTGCCTCCAGGTTCCTGTCCTGTCTGAGTTCCTGCTCTGACTTCTCTTTGTAGTGGACTGTGATGAGGCAGTGTAAGCTGAAAGAAGGGCTTTCCTTCCCGAGCTGCTTTTGGTCATGGTATTCTGGCACAGCTAAAGAAACCCTAACTAAAATATCTCTCCAGAGACATGTTTTCAGTGCTTATCACCTTTAGGGTGACAACTACCTACATGTTCATAGAAAACAAGCGCTCTAACATTCTGTTTGTTTCTAATGACCCTCTCTCTGTCTTTCCATGTTTGACAATGGTCCTCTGCAGGTAAGGCAATAGAACTTCATGCTCAAAGAGGAACTCACATTCCTTGGCCTCGATTAATGGCACCATCACTTACCTGGTGACTTTAGCCACAAATGTCTACCTTTGCTGATTTATTTTCCTTTGCTTCATGCCTATCATCTAATTCAGCATATCATAACCTTAATATATCTGGTCAATTCAGATCCACTGGTCTCTGTAGGTAGTTACAATAATTGCAAGAGTCTTTTGATTGACTTCCCCTGCTCCTGATACTAGTGTTCCTCATAACACTTTTCTAGCAAAGGTCACGTTGCAAACTTGTTATTCAGCCCCTTGACCCAGGCTGGGGGTGTAGCTTAGTGGCAGAACATTTGCTTAGTATGTGCAAGGCCCTAGATCCAAGCCCTCGGACCACTAAAACAAAACAACCCTCACTGGATTCTCTGCACTTGTTTAAGAGCAGATGCCCAACCCAGCCCTGCTGAGATTCCTCTCATGTCATCATGCCACACCCTCCCCACCACGCAGAACTTTCAGACATACTGATCTTTCTTCTAAAACACCCGAAGCTCTTTGCACATACTGTAGTTTTTGCTCTAGAATGCTTTGATGGAGATACTCTTGCTGACACATGGATCTACAACATACTCACCAGCCTGAGTGCTTTCCCAAAAGGACAGATGCTTAGCACTACTGTCAATAAACAGATTAGCCTCCCAATCTGGGATAATGCATATGAACTATGTAAGAAACTGAGTCTGAATATGTAAGTTCATGGCTGGTTAAGTTCAAGTGGAGTAGGAAGGTTTCCAGAGATACGTTCTACTTTATTACCTTGGGCCAGAACTGTGGGGTCCTGCATTTTCTTGTACCTGTTTAGGCACTGCCGGAGATCTTCTATTTTGCGATCCTGTAAATAACATAAATCATCACCACTACTACAGTTTTCAAATGGTAAAGGTAAGTACTGTGCATTGTTTACATTATTTGAAATTTTTTTTTCCTTTTTTTGTTTTTTGAGACAGGGTTTCTCTGTGTTGCTTTGTGCCTTTCCTGGAACTCACTCTGTAGACCAGGCTGGCCTCGAACTCACAGAGATCCGCCTGTCTCTGCCTCCCGAGTGCTGGGATTAAAGGTGTGCGCCACCACCGCCAGGCTTGAAAAATATTTCTAAACTTTAGTAAAAGTGGCAATATCTGTATTTTTCCTATGTGTATCAGAGACATAGAGAATCTGATCTTACAGATTCTTTAACTTGCCATCTTTAAAAATAAAACTGATACAACAGCATTTAACAACAATAACAAAAAAAATCAAGGGCCAGTGAGATAGTTCAGTGGGTGGGGAGACCCAACATTAAGCCTGATGACTTGTATTTGATCCCAGTGGATAAAATTCCAGAGTTCAGATCCCCAGCAACCACATAAAAGCCAGATATGGCAACGGTAACCTCAGCACTTTGGGGAGTGGGGAAGAAAGATAGAACCGGATTCCCTGAGCCTGCTGGTCAGTCAGTCTAGCTCAGTCAGCCCCGGGGTCACGGACTCTGTTTCTAAAACATAAGATGGAGAGAGAAGAAGAAGACACCTAAAGTCAACCTGACCTTGACTTTTGGTTTTCATGTGCGTGCACATGCACGAGCACGTGCATGCACGCACACAGACACACACACACAGAATGAAGAGAAAACAGAAAAGATACGAGCATTGGAGAAAGTCGTAATAAGAAAGAAAAACTGTCTCTTAGGCATTTTGTAGTTTTGTACTCCTTGGAATTAGTCTTTTGTGGGAAATGTCCCTTTGTTCTATTCACTAAGGGACACAGTAGAGAGTGGTCCTGGTGTCATAAGCTGAATCCAATGGTCGTTAGGCAACCAAGATCTGTGAGGTCAGGTCGGTGTTGAGGAAGGCACTGAAAGCCAAATGTGGGTGAGGAAAACAGACCACAGCCAAGACCCCGAGTGCAAAGGCAGGGCCCAGGGATGACCCACGGGCCTGGTCCATGTCTGTTTTCTGTTATTTCACCCCTCAGGAAAGTTGAGACAATGCCAGGTGTGACAGAGCTCAGGAATGTGACGAAAGTAACTCAGTTTCATGGCAGTGCTAATGTCTTCTCTCTCCGTGGCTGTGGGCACCTCTGTAAAGTTGGAACGCCACCCTGCAGAGGTCATGTCAGCCCGGAATTTCCAGACACATTATGGAATGTCCTTTCTCCTCTCGTCTGCATATAAAGAACTCTGATGCTCTCAATATTTTCTAAATTCAAGTGGGGAAAGGGGGCCTCAGGATTTCCTTGGAACCGGGCTGCTGTCCTCTCTCTACTGTGTACATACAGACACAGTCACAAGTGACATCACTGAAACAGTGCATACTGGGGCAGGAGAGACAAGGACGGCCCCTTGATGTCAGTGGAATCTTGTGTATGTCCCTGTGTGGCTGAAGTGGCTAAGGAATTGTATGCAACAGTCAAAATGGTGCCGCAGATCATAAACACACAGTGACATCGTGGTCTCACTTGGTACCTGCAGATCATAAACCAACAGTGACATCTTATCTCACTTGGTACCTTTTCTTCATTTGCTGCCATCAGGGACTCCACAGCCTTTTTCATTTTCTGTACTTCAATGTCTGAAAATGATGAACATCATTAGGAGGTACTTCAGCTAACCTGTGAGAGAAACCACATGCTCTTCTGTCCGAAAAGGTTCAAGGTAAACATGGCAATGACTCTCTTTTACGGACACTAAAAGGTGAGAATGTTCTACCTCACCCACACAGCTGTCACCCCAATCAGACAGTGATGTGGGTAGGGGAAAGCAAGCCACCCTCTCTCAGAGAAAGAACAAGATCTCCCTTTAGACATTGAGGATGAAATGTGGGCACAGCAGCAATGGCAGCACCAAGTCTTCTAAAAAGGAAGCCATGGGCAGTGAGTGAGAGCAATGGACAGTATTCACAATGACCAAGGCAGAGGGATGGTACTCAGTCATAACCAAGCTGGAGATGCCATGGTAAGAGCCTGAGCGGTGGTGTTCACATGAGTGGTCATGCCCAGAAGCCAGCTGCAGTTCCACAGAAGGAAGAGTAACTTGCTTCATCCGTAAGCCTCATTTCTAACACTGCTCTAAAACAGAAATCAAGACACAACAGCCATGGGGTGCAGAATGTGACTTTCCTTAGAATCTGACAGCCAAACACAAGTGTTACTTGAAAAGTGACGAGTTTCAAAGCCGGCAAAGCCCTGGCTGTGACTCCACAGATGCGCGTGTTGTCTTGCCTTCTGCTCCCGTGTCACCCACACCAGAGAGCACACTTGCTGAGCTCACTTCTTTGTGTGCCCTGTTGCACTATGGGGAGTGAACAGGCTGCGGGAAAACCTGTAAAATGATCTTTTCCTCCTTACTTTATGTCTGTGCAGCCTGTGTGTGTGTGTGTGTGCACCCTGAAGAAATGGAGGGCTTAGTGATGAGCCTGTGTGTGCACCGTGGAGAAATGAGGGCTTAGTGATGAGCCTCTGTGTGTGTGTGTGCACCATGGAGAAATGGAGGGCTTAGTGATGAGCCTGTGTGTGTGTGTGTGTGCACCATGGAGAAATGGAGGGCTTAGTGATGAGCCTGTGTGTGCACCATGGAGAAATGGAGGGCTTAGTGATGAGCCTGTGTGTGTGTGTGTGTGTGTGCACCCTGAAGAAATGGAGGGCTTAGTGATGGAGCCGTGGCACACGCTGAGGGACAGGAATGTTTAGACATGCAAAGAACCAAGTGGTGCGGCTGGCGGATGAGAAGCTGATGGAAACACGAAAACCTTACTTTTCTCCTTGAGCTTCTTTTTAACATTCTCATCTGCACAGGAAAACCCATCGGATTGGAAGTTAGCATACATTACAACAAAAACGCTATCTTCAAAGTCCCAGTGTTTGGTTTCCTTTTCTAAATGCTAGAACTCTAATCTCAAAAACAACCCCGACTGTGAACCACTACCACGTGACTTTGGGACGGCAGCGTGGTCAGTGCAGTACTGAGCCTGGGGAGGAACCACTGCACACTCAGCTGATGGCGACATCCGAACCTAAGCTCTCTGAACCTCAACCAACCATGATGTGGATTGGCCAATGCTGCTCTGGCAACGTTTTCCAAGTGTCAGTTTGACACCTGGTCCTCCTGACTACATGCCACATCCACCTGAGCACTCAAGTCCAACATCACTGAAAAGGTCTGTCCCCGTTCAAGAAGACAAGTCCACTGATGACATAGTCAGTATCCGGATCAGACTGCACGAGGGTTCTACACCCTGTGTTTAGACTCTGAACTACGCTGGTCCTGCAGTGACAATGAGCAGTTCAGACTAGTTCCAATCCCCAATTGGGTGTGGGCAGCACTCCCCAAATACATCTCTAGCCACTACTCACTTAGTGTCCATTCTATTCTTAAATTCTTTTTGTTGTTGTTGTTGTTTTTCAAGACAGGGTTTCTCTGTGCAGATTTGGAGCTTGTCCTGGATCTCACTCTGTAGACCAGGCTGGCCTTGAACTTACAGAGCTCTGCCTGGCTCTGCCTCCTGAGTGCTGAAATTAAAGGTGTGCACCACCACCGCCAAGCCTATTCTTAAATTCTTTAAAGTGGGACTGTCATTATGGTTCAGTGGCACAGCATGTGATTAGCAGATTCAATCCTAAAATTATGGCCGATTTCTGAATGTCCTATAACATTATTTTACTTATGTCACAGGAAGGTACACCCACTTCTCTAAAGCTTGACAAATTGAGTTTTCTGATGGATAAGGAACTGGGTATAAAATGCTACTTGTTTCCATATAAGACATGGCATGACAAAGCTCCACAAACTGGAATCTGGCTGTCCAAATGAGTTAGAAATTGCTCCAGTGTCCAGCATCGTGGTTGCCATTGGACATATTTATGCAAACATGCATACATATATCACAAAGGAAGGTAAAATCTGATATAGTATTCCAGATATTATACATATTATATTTCAAGATTTTTGAAAAAATAATCAGGGTCTCCCTGTGTCACCCAGGCTGGTTTCCAACTATGATCCTTCTGCTTCAGCATCCACGAGCTGGGATGGCACCTATGTGCCACTCCATCAGACCCAAACCTAAGTTTCTAAAAACACATGTCACTGGAGTTGTTTTCCTATTGTCCAATATCAGCTCCTCTCCTGTATTTCACAGGATTTGAACAGAGCAAGTGCTAGTCAGTCAGTCTTACCTCGATCAAGGATTTCGATCCCTTCTCCTTTCATCTTGCAAACCAGCCTCTCCTGCAGTCTTTTTACTTCACATTCCTTCTCTTCCAGTTGCTCTTTTAAAGATGCCAATTCATCCTACAAAATTACAAACCCATTTTAAAACAGTAGACTATGGCAGAAGAGCAATATTTACAGAGCATATTGGCCCTTTGAGTCAATATTTAGACTATGGGAATGAGACAAAAATCTGCAAAAACTTACACACAAACACAAATTAGACAGAGGCAATGGTAAGCACTACTAATATGAGTAATTTGTAATAATTACAGTGTAATTGTTTCAAGATTGTAAGTAAATGTAAGAGGAAAAGGAAGACTAACCAGGACAGGGTATTCTCTAAAGTTCCACCTACATTAAATCAAAATGTCTCACCAAGTTAGTCAAAGAAGATGGTCAAAATTAGATACTTGTCATAAAAGCAAAAATAAAATACAAATTCAAAAAGGTTTGCTTGACTTCCTCAGCATTTTGAGGTGACACTCATGACTCAGTAGCCACAGGGAGACAATTCAGGGGTGACTGACCAAATCATGGACTAGAGAACTCACCCTCATCACTGAATAAGACAGACTCCTGCAGCAGCGAGAAAGAGGAGTCTAGAGAAAAAGGACTTACAGTCTTCCTTAGGAAATGGCATACATGCAAAAGCTGCTCAGGCCACTGATGCAATTGCTAACATTTTAAATTTCAGTTTTGACTTAGAGAGTACTAGCTGTAGCAAATTTATATTTTACAGCTATCTGTACATGCAATGATGGAAAATCCACCCAGGAGGCTAAGTTGGCCCTGTACTCCTGACTTGTGGTAAGGGTGGAGTCAAGTTCAGAAACCTTCAGTAGCCCTGCAAGAGGTTTCTTCCCTGCCATAATGATGAACTCATACACACTGACCTTCCAGAAAACCTTAAAAGAGGAGACCAGGCCTCAGCTATTGACGCGGAATTCTTCCACAGGTGAACTTAAAACAGTTATTATGCTCAGGGTCAGACGGTCTAAGAAATAAGCTTATAAGCCAATACTTTTATATTTTACCTGTTCATTATTTACACTAGAGACCTCCTTGTCCTATAAATCAGGGTGTATGTATTCTTAATAAACAGGTGACATACACACACACACAATGAATGCACATGCTACTAAAACACCATCACAGCAAAACGACACAGGCCAGAAGGCAACAGCCACGGGGCTCCCACCAAGTCTACTACACCTTCAGTGACTCCCATTTTTGCTCCATCCGTTGCTTTTCATACTGCATCTGACCCACCTTGATTTTCATGCTAGAAAGTTTGGCCATTAAAGACTGGTAGAGAGACAGAGGAGTGAGAGAAAACGAGGCAGAAAAAGACAAGCTAAATAACCAAGAAAACAGCATCACTTCATAAAGAAGGTTAGCTAATTCGGAAGACCAGGCTGTGTCCTGTCAAATTAATCAAGCCTTGGGTTTTATTGAGAACTCTAGCATGTAAGCTCAGTGTCTCCAGCTTCAGGGAAACACAGTTTACTTGTAAGATATGTTTGTTATCATGTACTAGTTAGAAAACATTTTTTTTTTTATAATATTTTCACAGAATGGCAGACCATGTTTAAAAAAATTTTTTTTCAGAAAGAAACTTACTTTAGTTGACTTAAGTTTTTTCTCATACTGAAGTCTTTCACTGTCCATTTCACTGACTTTTAACCTCAAATCATTGATCTCTTGTATTAGCCCCTGTCAAAAAAAAAAAAAATTAGAAAAGGGTATATAAGCACAGTTATCAAGGGAGTAGCCAGGAAGCCCTAAGCCAGCAACAGCTCCTCAGATATGAGTTGTGAGAACCAGTCCTAACAAAGGGAGATTCAGTGAAATTTATTCCTAACAGTCAAAGCACATTTCCACTAAAACACTAACTTAAGTTTCCAGGACCTTGGCCCCAAGTGCCGGGATTATGAAAACAAATGTAGCCCTGACTCTGACCAGGAAAATGCTGTTCGTGGAATCCTTGGACCAAGTGCCCATCATAATGCTAGAAGGTTGTGGACCTTTAAGAGGTTGGGCCTGCAGGGTGAACCTTTACCCATTAGAGGCATGTCCCAGAGGGGATTGTGGGACCCTGGCGCCTTCCCCTCTTTTCTGTTTTCTGTCCTGAGGTAAGTAGTTTTTCTCTGCCATGCACTTCATGATAAAGCTGGCTCAAAGGCAATGGGGCCCATTGATCATGGACTAAAATCTTCAACTGTCTCTTTATAAGCCATCTTGGGTATCTGTCCAGTGGTGATGAACTAAGATCTCCAACCACCTCCTTAGAAGCCATCTTGGGTATCTGCCCACTGATGATGGACTAAGATCTTCAACCACCTCCTTAGAAGCCATCTTGGGTATCTGCCCACTGATGATGGACTAAGATCTTCAACCATCTCCTTAGAAGCCATCTTGGATATCTGTCTGTCCCAGTGGTGTATCTTGTTTCCTTTCTGTTGCTGTGATAAAATGCTCTGACCAAAAGCAGCTTCAGGGAAGAAAAGGGTTTATTGGGCTTATACTTCCAGATTACAGTCTATCACTGGGGGAATCAGGGTGGGAAGTCAAGTCTGGGACCTGGAGGCAGGAACCAGATGAATGCTACCTGCTGGCTCCTTCACTGGCTCACTCGCCTGGATCATGCACACTTAGCTTTCTTATATAGCCCAGGAGATGGAGGTCCCCACAGTGGGCTGGGCCTGCCCACATCAATTAAGACAAGCAAGATGATTCCTCACAGACATGTCCACAGAAAAACCGGACAGAGACAAATGACTCAACTGGACTGTTGACTAGTGACTCTAGGCTGTGTCAAGTTGACAGTTAATGCTCACGAGGACTAACTCACAAAGGCAGTTTAACACCCGACTCAAAGCCACTTAGTGCCCATTATATATTCAAACCATCTATGGCCCCACCTCCGTCACACACACCTGAGATTTTCTCTGGTGTAGTCATTTACCTTAAGACCCTTTTCTGTGACACATCAGTAGTTAGTTGAAGATTTCTATAATTATTTCCCCAATCTACAAAAATACAGACTCAAATTTAAACCAAGAATCTCAACCTGAAGGTAGATGAAGGCCTTCTATGTGCGTGTATGTGTTTTCATATATTCATATATCCAATACAATACAATAATGTAATTTTATATGTGCAAAATTTAAAAAATCCAAATGATTCATAACAATATAATATAATTTAACACCATTTCTACTGTCACTTTAAAATATGCTTTTAAAACTGGCCCAAATGTTCTGAATTCAAATTTAAAGAGTCAGTCTCCCTCATTTGTTCATGTTCCCTGCACAGAAATCAGGAGCAGTCCCCTTCCCTTGGTCTTTTAGACTTTGTTACTGTTGACAGGCATCTTTGAACTCCCAGCAGGCACTGCTGTAAACACTGCCACTTCCTTTAGTGGTGACCGCAAAGACGAAGAAACAACCACAGAACACTGAACTATATCCTGGGGTCATTTCCTTTTTTTTTCTAAGAAAAACTATCCAAGGTAGGCAGTGGTGGCACACGCCTTTAATTCTAGCTAGCACTCAGGAAGCAGAGGCCAGCCTGGTCTACAGAGCAAGTTCCAGGACAGCCAGGACTACAGAGAAACCCTGTCTCGGGGGGAAAACAAAAGAAAAAGAAAAACCATCCAATTGTTTTCAGTGGCAATACATTAAATATGAATCTAAAATTCCAACATGGGAGGAGTCAGATATGACCATGACAAGTCCGACTGGAAAATGTGGCACTATATCCTTAAGGTTATATATGTATGTGTGTCTGTGTGTCTGTGTCCATGTGTGTGTCCGTGTGTGTCCGTGTGTGTGTGTGTGTGTGTGTGTGTGTGTGTGTGTGTGTGTGTGTGTGTGTGTGCTTGTGTGTGTGTACATATACACATTATTCAATTAGCTTATCAGTTCAGGCTCCTTTCAGAGCTCTACATTTCGGCCATCTGTGCTCACACCAGCAGGGGGCGCTGAATGAGCCAACCATCTCCCACTAACAAGTTCCAGGGCAGGCAAGTCCTAAATCTTCAAGGTTTAATGACTTTAATGCACTATTTTTTGGAAATGCATATAAGTGTTCCTTACTTCAACATTTTCTTAGAAACTAATATCCAAACTCTCTAAAATTCTCAAATAGTGTTAAGAGATTTGGGATTGCAGAAATAACTAGGTAAACGTTTTATTTTTAAGGAAACATTAAGCGAGAACATGTACATATTCCATTCTATTTCAACCTTTGAAGACTATTTTTATATAAAATCATAATTATCAAACACTCTGCAATCTGCCCTGTGAATATGTGTACTCCATTTTATCAATAGTGTAGATTATTTCATAGAAAATGATCAGGGATTGTGTTTCTTAGAAGTGTGTTCCTGGTGTCACTTGGAATCTGAATGAGAACATGTGAAAAGAATGGAAACGAGGAGAAACCAGGTACGACACAAAACATGATGTAGGTGCTGTTTTGAGATCCTACCAAAAAGGTCAAAACACCTGCTGTGGTGATATACTGTGTACCCTAATAAACTTTGCCTGAAGAGCAGAGAACAGAACAAGCCACTAGATCAAACATAGAGTCCAGGCAGTGGTGGCACACACCTTTAATCCTAGCACTCAGGAGGCAGAGATCTGTCTGGATCTCTGTGAGTTCAAAGCCACCCTGGACTACATGAGATTGACTCAGTCTAGGAGAGAAACAGCCAGGCAGTGGTGGCACACACCGTTAATCCCAGTACTGGGAAGCACACACGCCTTTAATCCCAGGAAGTGATGGCAACTGGTGAAACCATGGATTAGATATATTATTTCAGAGGAAGAAAACCAGTGTGGACCTGTCAGTCCAGGTCGCCACAAATACATTGTAGTCAAAACTATTTCTACAGAACATTTCAAACAAAATCTCTAAACAAAAAAACTGCAACTAGCATTTAGTGAAGAAATTTACAGTGTGGTTAAGGTTTATTCCAAGTTCTTTTTTATTTATTGTCTTTATTCTTTTGAGACAAGGGTTTCATGGTGTCCAGTCTACTCTCTGACTCTCTATGTCATGGAGGCTGGCTCTGAACCCCTGATCCTCTGCTTCCATCTCTCAAGTGCTGGGATTACAGGCACATGCCACCATGGCTGGCTTATTCTGTCTTTGGAGTGGTGCTGAGGATAAAACCCAGGGTCTAGTGAGCCCTGATCATGACACCTACCATTGGGCTACACTCCCAAACCTAAAATTTCTTAAAAGGAAGCAGGATGAGAGCATATTATAACTAGCTACCCCCCTTCACACCTCCAGGAATTTCAGCTTTGTCTTGGGTATGTGTGCACACAGGTTAAGAAGGGAAGGAGGAGGAGATCATGCATATTACTCACCTCTGTGTCTCTGAACCTGTCTTCATAATCCAGTCTGTCTTTCTCAACAGCTGTCAGTTTTAACTTCAAGTTAGAGACCTCTGCCATGAGCTCCAGCTTCTGTGTTTCTAAGGAGGTCCTACTCAGAAGCTCCTGTTAGAATTTCAGATCAACATTCACAAGTCGTTTTATTATAAATTTCTGCCGTGACTGCAAAGCAGCAATGGTTAAGTGTGGTCTGTGGGTGAAAATAACGGCCACAGAACAGCCACACACCACACTGCTGAGGACCACACGCTCTAATGACCCTCTTCTGAACAGGATTAAATACATCATCACGTTGTCAAAAGATGCATCTTTCCTTACACTCTCAAGCCTGATGACAACACGGCTGTACACAGTGCATGCTATGTGCTGGGACGAGGAACACACTCATAAGTGGTTCAGTCCCGGCAACAACCTTAGGAGGTAAAAAAGCTTATCAGCCTCATTGATCAGGGTTTCTAGGGACCTGGAAACTGAGGGACAGAGAGGTCACAAGCCTGTGGAGTAATGCAGGCAGGCAAGGGTGGCAGACAGACATTCAACAGAAGCAGTTTTGTTTCCATGTGCTCCATGTATAACTCTGTCCACTGTATCACAAGGCTTCTCATCTATAAACCCTATGTGCACACACGAACGCATGTGTGTGGGATTTTTTTTTTCCTTTGCCTAAAACCAAATCCCATGTAGTGTTTTATCATCTCATGGTTGAGAGCTGGAAATAATATGAACGCAAAAGATGAATTTACAGTTCCTGTAACACTGTATTCTATTCTAATTGTATAACTTTGTATGTCTCCGTGTTTTTAGACTCTGCTACTAGACTTTAAATGCACCAGTCTGTGGGATTCTGGAATTTACTGCTGCAGACACCAGACAGGAATGTTGCACCTCAACTAAAACAGTTCAGCAGGCCCCTCCCTCACTAGCTTTGGCCCATACCTGCTGCAGCATTTCCTCAGTGGCGTTCAGCTTCTCTCTGTGCTCTTCAAGACAAAACTCCAGATCTCGAATCTTCTCTCCCTGAGCCTCCACTTGGTCTGTCAACACACTCACCTATCAATTTAAAGCAAAAGACCGCAGTGAGTTTGAAAGGCTTTGGGTCCCACAGCATGCTTCATTCTCTAACTGGAACAAAGACAGACCACCCATCATTCAGGGTAGCTTAAAACATCCCAGACTTAACAAGATGACAGTGATCCTGCCCTCTGCTATTTATATTTGTTTCATGTGGATCAAACCCAGGGCCTTGGGCATGCTAGGTAGGTACTGTACCACTGAGCAACATCTGCAGCCCTATGTTGCCTTTTGACTTAAGGATTCCTATTCAATTTAGGAGGAACTTAGTTCTGATCCAAGATAAGCAATACTTTCCATATTAAAATCATTTCAGTTATAGAGTATATAGAGAAAATTTGATTTCTAAGGCAATGGTGAAGAACTAGTAGGGCAATGGAGGAAAGGCGGTCCATATTTGAAACAGACGTTAAGGACCACTCAGATCTCATACATCAATAATAAAAGAAGCAAACATGAATAAAGAACTCAAATTCTACAAGCTCGTTCAAGATCAACATGGTCCCAAATTTGTTCAAAGCCAGGGTGTGGCGAAGAGTGGTACACTGTTTCCAACATGTGTAGGACTCTGAGTTCAGTTCCCAGAACCACAAAGAAAAAAAAGAAAAAGCCAGAGTGCACCGCAACACACTCAAATGTCCCAAGAAACAGTGGGGTTCCTCTGTCGTCCTCAGGGTCCCATGCAGATCTACAGTCCCTCCTCAGGCAGCTGAGTAAATATTCTTTGATCCGGTCAGTTCAAAACATGAAAGTAAAGCCATGTGCTCTGTACTTGGAAACACCACAAGGAAGCAAACAAACACCCCACAGCAGTTTCCAGCAGCAGGCTCCACTCAGGATGCTTTGTGTGGTTCGTGTATCATTTTCAAAGCTGGAAGGTTAATGTACATTCAGGCTGAGATTTTTACACTACAGGTATTCACAGATCTGAATTTCTGGCTCAAAGTATGTAAAATTAGATCTGATGGTAACACAGAAAGTCATCTCAGGTGGCACTGAGTCTGACTGGAGGGGCTGAGTCAAGGACCGGCTCCTGTGGACTGGGTGACATACCCTTGGCCCTCCACAGCCAGCTCACTTACACTCCCTGTGTGGATGGCTAGCCTAGCATACCACTGCTTGTTTGTGAGATAGGATCTTAAACTATAGCCCAAAGTGGCCTCAAACTCACAGCAATTCTTCTGCCTCCGCCTCCTAAGTGCTGGGATTACAAACACTGACACCACAACTTCCTTCTGCTCTACCGTATTATTTCTGTCAGTAGTGAGTTGGGTTGTTGTACAAATGTGAATTGAGTTTTTCATTTTCAGTAGTCTTTGGAGGTACAGTTTTCCCTTGGTATCTGAGTGGGGCTGGCTCAAGAATCCCTGCAGATGACAAAGTGTGAGTGCTCAAGTCCCTTCACAGAACAGCAGAGTGTTCACTATAGTCCACACATCTTCCTTAAGCTCCAAGTCATTATGAGGTTCCCCAGTACAATGTGAATGCACATGAACAGTTGTTATATTGCAATCCACTACAGGTATGTCCAGATCTGAATTTCTAGTTCACATGTATGTAAAGTCAGATCTGATGGCACGTTCACTACAGGTACTCTGTGTCCACATATACGTGATCCACAGTTGCAAGGACCCTGCATGTCCTGAGAAAGGAACAGCCTGGAGTACCACTTGCCTGAAGAACGAGGGATTCCTTGTCATTTTCTAGACGCGCTAGCCTTTCTTGATAGACGTCTCCATTCCCAGGTAGGTGTCCATTTGTCTGAACAAGAAAATAACATAGATAAGGTCAACTCTCCTTTAGGATAGACATGTTATGAATCAGTAAAGTGGATATATTTTAAATTCAAAAGGTCTGAATTAAATTCAGCACAGTTGTCACTGCCATGGGTGGAAAATATGAGTTAATTGACTTCAAAATGAGTATGGCAGGCACAGTGAACACTTACATACAACTGAGCATCTAGACACAACTGACTGACCTACACCATTTCTGAGCAAACAGAACACAATTTCCCTTTCTTAGTTTTAAATATACTGCTATATAAAACACTGACTAAAAACAACCTGGGGAGGAAAGGATTTATTTTACCTTATAGTCCACCATACTGGAAGTCAGGGCAAGAACGGAAGCAGAGGACTTGGAGGAACGTTGCTTACTGGCTTGCTCCTCATGGCCCACAAAGCCTGAGGAGCTTATAAGCCATATAAGCCTTTCTTACACAACCCAAGACCACCTGCCCAGGAATGCCCTCACCCTCAGTGCACTGGACCTTCCACATCAATCATTAATTAGGAATATGCACTATAGACCTGTCTACAAGCCAATATGATAATGGAGACTTTTTCTCAGTTGAGATTTCTCTTTCAAATGACTTTAGCTAACCAGCACAGACTAAGAAGCAGCAGCCGCTGGAATGCTCCAGTGGCCACAGGCAGGGGGCATGCAAAGTTCTGAGTAGCGGTAGAAGACAATACTCCATTTGACCCTGAATGACTCCTGTCACTAATTTTGGGTGGTTATGACTTGTGATGTCCTCCCATTCCTACCATTCCATCCCCAGGCTCTACACAGGACTGTCAGTGCCTGCTGATGGAGCAGACAGGGGGCAATGTCTGCCAGGATTCTTCCTGCTCACTCAGCTCTCCAGTCACAACATGAAGGTTCTTGCCTAGAAAGCCTTCAGAAGCCCCCACCCCCGCCCCCACACACAAGCTTAAACACTCAGTCTAAAGTGATTTTCCCTGATGGCACTGACTAGCTAGGCTACCAGCTTTGTAATCATTTTCTATCTTGGCTAAACTAATGTCTTATGTGTTTATTTGTTCAAACAACACTATGATCAGCTACTAGGCAAAACCCGGGCATCAGCTTGTACCTTCCCGGCATCTGGCTCAATGCTCTCCCACGCTCACCTTCTCACTCTTCTCAATGCTCTCCCACACTCACCTTCTCACTCTTCTCAATGCTCTCCCACACTCACCTTCTCACTCTTCTCAATGCTCTCCCACACTCACCTTCTCACTCTTCCCAATGCTCTCCCACGCTCACCTTCTCACTCTTCTCAATGCTCTCCCACACTCACCTCACTCTTCTCAATGCTCTCCCATGCTCACCTCACTCTTCTCAATGCTCTCCCACACTCACCTCACTCTTCTCAATGCTCTCCCACACTCACCTCACTTCTCACAGACATTTTTTTCTACAGATTTTATTTTTATTTATTTTATTTTTGAGACACCATTTTCCTATGCAGCCCTGGCTGTCCTGGAATTCACTATGTAGATCAGGCTGACCTCGAGCTCATGGAGCTTCACCTGCCTCTGCCTCCTGAATGCTGGGATGAAAGGTGCGTGCCACTGTGACTTACTTTTTCTTCCATTTTTTTCATATCCAAGTCATGAAAGAGCAAGACCCATAAAATTGTCACTCTGAAACACAGTAGTAGTGTGGTGGTTTGAATGTAATTGGCCCCCATAAGCTCACAGGGAGTGGCACTATTAGGAGGTGTGGCCTTGTTGGGGAAGCATGTCACTGTCGGAGTGGGCTTTGAGGTCTCATATATGCTCAAGATACAATACACCCGGTGTCTCAGACCACTTCCTGTTGCCTGTGGGATCAAGATGTAGCTCCTTTTCCACTCTGAGCTCCTTCTCCAGCACCATGTCTGCCTGCACACCTCCATTGTCCCTCCATGATGACAATGGGCTAAACCCCTGAAACTGTTAAGTCTCCCAATTAAATGTTTTCTTTGTAAGAGTTGCTGTGGCCATGGTATCTCTCCACAGCAACAGAACCCTAAGACAGAGTATGTGAGACACCACCCCCCACTCTCCTTCCTTCTTCCATTGTCCTTCCCTCTCCAGGATGCCACTCTGTAGTCCAGAAATATCCCCCTGCTTTAGCCTCCTGGGATCACGGACATGAGCCACTATGCCCAGCTCATGATGTGTTCTTTATAAATTCATTTAAATAGCTTATAGCCACATTATATATTTTATCCAGAGGATTCCCTAAATATTCCTCTAAATACAACAGAGATAAAAGCCAAAAGGAATCCAAAATAGACATCCAGAATTCAACTGAAAAGTCCATCCCTTCAGAGTTAGAATCAGAAAAAAAACCACAAACTGTGCACTCTTCTTCCCCAGGCACATTTGATGGGACATCTATTATTTCTCCAGAATTAACCTGCATCTATTCTACCTCTCCAGTTTCCTAGTTCAGTTCTGGGAGCGACAGATGTCATGTGTTGAAAACAAAACAAAATGGGAGAAGGAAGAGGAAGAAGGGTAGGAAGAAGTGGGGAGGAGGAGGAAGAAGAAAGGGAAGAAGATAGGGAGGGGAAGAAGGAAGGAAGGAAAGGGGGAGGAAGAAGTATGGGAGGGGAAGAGAGAAGAAAAGATTAAACTGAGGGCATTCCTTCTGAACATGTTAGATTATGTTTCCCAAGAGGCCACAAAAAATTCAAAAGCTAATTCAGCAAGTGTGCAATGCATGTTTAGAGTGTGTGTAGTGTTAGTATCAGCTGTTCAGCCACATACCTGCATCATTACCACTGCACAACCCTGTTCACATTGTTAACTAAAGGGCCCAGAATTAACTTACAAGAGTCTGATGGAGTATGCGGAATGACTTACAGGCCCCAGGGACCATGAAAATGAAATGTTCATAACTCCTTGAGGACTGGCTTCTGGAAAACAGCCAGAACACTCGACGTATGTTCTTAATCTATGAGAGTGCAGAGGCAGACCCTGGACAGCTTTCAATTCCTCATTCTGATTACATACATTATGAGGCATCTGTTTCTAAAATCCTATGCAAGTAATGTTTTATAAACACATTTCATTAGGTAAAAAAAAATATGTTCAGTGAGTGTAAGAGGTAGAACTTTCTCTTTTGTCTCTCTTTAAGAGACAGGGTAGGGCTCCATATGTTGATCAGCCTGGCCTGAAATATCTGGACTCAAATAAATCTCCTGCCTCAGCATTCTGATTAGCTCTAACAATAGTCATGTGCCACTGAGTCAAAACAAAAGTATCCATTCATTTTTCCTCCCATGGTTCTGGATGATGTTTGAACCCAGGGCCTTACATGGACACAATCATCACACAGAAGCACTCACAGGATCCACTCTGAACTATACCCTGTTCCTTTATTTTGAGTGCAAGAAACTCTAGCCAGATTGGCAGCATTTTCTTTCAGGCCAAATATTATACAGACATGAGATGTTTCAAAATCAGTTCTCCAAAGTGAAATGCTGAGAACTGATTCAAAATGAGCAAATGAGTCAGAAATGTCCTGATATTTATAAGTACTTATAATACTCAAAATCACCTGGCATTTCTGAAGCATTAGTAGTCTCCACAGGAACCACAAGCAAAAAGTCTTAGGAATTGCTATATAGAGTGGTAAAGTATTTAAGTAGATAAAGAGCTAGTCTGCCCACATGACCTCTTTCTTCCTGCTACTTCTGTTTAAGAATGTTGGAGTTAAGCCTGTGAGGTACCTGTCACCTCTGTCCTTCCTTCAACAATGATCCACCTCCCATGTGACTCAAGGCCTTCCACCCAGTAGCATGCTCTCTGAGTTCACACATGCATTTCACCTCTCTTTTCCTTTTTTATTCTTTTCTTAAACCTTCCCTATCTGCCTACACTTGGGTCTATAAAGTCTTCCTTGAATGAACGGTTCATTCATAAACTACTTACAGCACTGGACAAGCTCCGAAGCACCGTGCTCAGTGGACCACCCCTGCCCCAACAGAGACGCTGCACTGTGAGCGGTTCTTTTAGTCTGATAGGAGTGCTTAACTGAACGACTGCTGAAAGAAGGAACAGTGCTTAAGACCCATGGGTTGAGTTTAAGATGAGTAGCTGGCCTTGCTCCAGTCACATTTCTTTTAAATTCAGTACTTCATGGTGGTGTGCTGCATTAGTTCACATCCTCCTTCAGGAAGACCCCTCATCATCCCTCTTTCCTGTCTTCCCCGGGAGCCTTGGTCTCCTGTGTCCCACAGACCTGTAATTGTCATCTCTTCTCATTTTCAGCTTCTTCATGTAGTAAGATTTCTTCAGTTTTTCTCTCAACACTGACCCAAAGGCTTTGTGCCTACTTCTGCCCACCTCCTGATCTCCTTGCCTAGGTTAACCCAACGTTCATAACCAGCTCTACCTCTTCCTTCTGATACTGTGTGTCATTCTCTTCTCATCTGATGGCCCCCTTTTCATGTCTTGCCCTCAACTTCACAAAACAGCTTTTTACCACATTCTGCCACCGATGGCCAATCACCAAATTTATGTGAACTGATCATTGTCACGGCTAACCTTGGTGTCAACTTCACACATTTGGGAAGAAAGTACCCCAACCAATGAACTGCCTACACAGAACTGGCCTGTGGGCCTGTCTACGGGGCATTTTCTTTACTGCTTTTTGGTGTAGGAAGGCCCAGCCCACTGTGGGTGTGACCACCCCTAGGCAGGGGAGGCTTGGACAGCATAAAAAATGTAGCTGAATGTGAGTCAGAGAGTAAGCTGCTAAGCAACTGTCCTCCAGGGTCCCTGACCCGATTTCCTTGGTAGATTGTGACTTGGAAGTGCAAACCAAATAAACTCTTTCCTTCCAAAGTTGCTATTTATATAACACCAATATGTAAACTAGAACAGTCATTTATTCTTCCTAACAGTTTCTTAGTGTAAAACCCTCCTATATTTCTTTTCATTCTCCCAGGATTATAAAATATGATACACATCATCAAAAAC